GGTTGAGAACTAGCCATCCACAATCTTCCACGTTAGCAACACTACCTGCTCCTTGGTAGTATAAATGGTATCATTTATTTCATTTTAAGGGGTTGACAACTTAGCACTCTTAGCAAATAGCAATTGTATTAGCTCTTAGCATAGCGATAGACGAACGGCCTCAAGGCTTTTAGTTGAAGTGTGTTATATACGGATCCTTATTATCACTTAATAAGATACGGCCCACTTGCTACGGATATTTTGACCCACCTTTTGTTTGTTTAATAACCTAAGCTAACTCACCAAAACATCCACTCGAAATTCAAAGGAACGTGTTGGGTCTTTGGGTTGACGGAATAAACTTCAACAAACCCTCTTTCCCATATGCGCAAATATGTGATTTAAAAGAAGTTTCCTTTCATATATTAAAAAGACAAATTGAGGATTAAATTATCTTTTGATCTTTGTACAGAAAAGGTTTTGTGCGTGATTTCCTTATAAATAGATGCACAAACATATATTTTGAATTTGAAAAGTTATTTTATTTTGAAAACTTTCTTTGTGAGACAGAACTAATATTTAATCCGTTATTGGTTAAAATTTTCCATTATAGAAAAGTCACTTCTTTATATGATCTTTTATTGTTTTCTGATGACAAAAATTCTTTTTAGTTTAGCATAGCTCAAAATCGAATTTGGGTGAACAAGGAAAGATATTTTAAGAGTTGAATCAATCAATCAATCTGACCAGATCTATACTTTTCCATGACATGAGTTAAATACTTTTCTTGCAACAACTTATAAACCAAAAAATATTTTCATATTATTCATACTGATCAACCATGCTTGATGTACAAACCATTATACACACCATGTTTGTGAAGTTTTTTTTTGTCTGTGAATCCGGTTCACAGACAATATTTGGTTTGTGCACCACATTGTCTGTGAATCGATGTTCACAGAAAAAAAAGCTTTCACAGACATAGGTGTGTACAAAAGTGTGTATAAGAATGTGTACAAACATCATTTTTGAAATATGATTACCTTGAAAAATAGAATTTGGCTATTTGTGAAAAAATGGCAATGATATGCAAGCAGGCCTTTAATTTAATGCTGAGATTGGGGGCTTTCGATGACCTTCCCATGCAGGCCATTGTTAATGGAACGGTAGCGTGGGCAGTTTAATTTAAATGATATCTTGAGTGAGCATTGTAATGTCACAAGTGATGGAGACAAACTTGCAATGAAGAGGAGTTGACCGACATCAAAGGATTGGGAGTACGTACGTGCTTCATCCGTGGTCGAGCATACACAACACCACTACTACTAGTCTACTAATACCCGGACGCTTCACGATGTGGATAGAATGATACTCCCTCCCTCCACTAACATTCAAGAATGATTTGATACGATTGATATTGAATTAACAAAGTAAAAATAATGTATTACGTAGTATAATTTAGAATAATACAATTTTATCAAATTTAGTATCTCATAATTTTAAAGAAACGAACCAAAAAAAGATAAGACAATTTTAAAGAGCGAAAAAAGTATATTACCTTATGGGATCCACGCTTCTGCACTTGGAGTGGCTGCCTATGTTTAAGAAACCGGACCGGGAAGCGATCCGGCTACGTGTCCGGGTCACGGATCAACCCGGAACATGTCAGGTCAATTCGATCAACGCTATAAAACCGGTCAACCATTTAACAATAATAAACATATAATTGTATACAAAATTAAAATAAAAGGTAATTATTTCATAATGATCAACTAATAATAATACTTACTATACACTTAAAAGTTAATAAAATTCCATTTTGTTAACTTTCTATTTCATAACAAAAGTCTCATTATATTCCAAAATACCATTTTGATCTTATTAAAATATGTAACGATACTCCATATTTGTTATTTTTATTGGACATTTATTATATAGTTTGACATAACTTTGTTTCTTAAACAAATTATTACTAGTAGTATATTACATATCGCATATTTTTTCTTTTTAGAGTATTTAAATTGTAATTTTTTTTGTTAAAAATGCTTTAAAATTTAAAAAAAGAAAAGAAAAACAATCAAAACCGGGTTTTTCGAGTCCAGAATTTGCCGGGTCGGCTGAGTTTTTCCGTTTTTTGACTATTTCCGGATTTTTAATTAACCGGTCTGGGTTTAGATCCGGATCATCGGGTTCCAGGCCGACCCGGCCGGGTTGGGTCGGTTTTGAAAACATAGGTGGCCGCCCCACTAATATGCACGGCCAGAACATCAGAATATGGGCCTCACTGAAGAGAGTACGTGTTAATATGCATGGTTTGAAACGGTCCGGCCGGTAATTTAATTGCTACCATTCATTTATTAGAGTTTATCATGTTTTCTTTGAACTCTAGATGTGGTCCGATTTTGTCCATGACCATCTCTTAGGCATTTTGGAGCGGTGTTGAGGCAAAAATGTCAAAAACGGACTACGTTCATATGAAAATAGTGTTTTGATTCATATTTTCAGACATTCCAGCACCGTCAATAAAATACACTCACCATATTTCTTTACATATCAATTTAATAAAACATTAATAAAATTATTATAAGTAATGTTTTGAAAGAATGACCGGAATAATAGTTCCACATATCAATAAGACAAAAATAGGATTATTCTCCATCTGGACAGAAAAAAGACTATAATTAAAATGAAAAGACTAAAATGACCTTGATATAAAATTCTATAGTAGCCCAATCCTTTCAGCCAGCCGTTCCACACGCCCCATCGCATCTCCCACACTCCAATACCGCCATAGTTGGAGGCACAATAAAGTTTTGTTTTTAAAAGTTGTGTACTTTTCTCCGGTGTGTGAGAGGTTTTGGATGGGTGCCTTTCTCTTCTTGCTTATGTAATTATTTTCAACATTTACTTTATAATAATATATGATAAATGTTTCTCGATATTTACAACACCATGGTGGGTTTCAGGTTAAAAAACAAGTTGCGTACATAAATTCATTCTAACTCATTTTTTTGTTTAATTCAAATAAATGTCATCAATATATACGTTGCATGAGGTATGTTTGAAATGGATATTTATTTATTTCATTAATATAAAAAACTCTAGGTTACATAAGATCAAAAGTTATTAGTCATACGAAGAAAAGGCACATCACTATTTTGCAACAAACTACACCATGCGTACATAAGAATGATACCTCCGTCTCATAAAATTCTTCTCACTTTGACTTGGCACGAATATTAAGAAAGTGGAAATGTATGGTTGTGGTTGTGTAAGGAAAATGTGAAATGAATGTGAACCACACAAATTGTCCAAAAATGGTAAGTGAGAAGAATTTTTTGGGAAGACTCAAAAAGGAAAGTGAAAAGAATTTTATGGGACGGAGGGAGTATTTTTTAGTGAAAAATACTCCGTTTTAGGTAAAAAACACTGCGTTTTATATATACATTTTAGCGTAGTCTTTTTTAATAATTTGTTAAATTGATTTCCCGTTTAAATTTATCAAAACAAATTCACCCGAAAGCCCCACAAACAAACAAGTTCGGATGTTACTTCCCGTTTGAACCACCCGTGATGATCATCACCCTCTCCCCCCCCCACACACACAAGAAAAAGATCATGTACATCCGTCCGGTCGTCGTTTGGGGTGGTTCGCGGTGAAATTGTTTAATGAGTTTTTTGTAGCATGTGCTTCATGAAGTCTATCTTATGTCCAATAAATTTCAGCTAAAAATTCAATCAAGAAGGCATTCAAATAATTTTTTTACAATAACTGTGTTAAATATGTATATTTTGGCAGTTATCTACAAAAACAATTGACTGCCTTCTCGATTTAAGTTTAAACTAAAATTTGATTTGGATAAAATAGACTTGATGAGGAACATGATAAAAAAATTCATCAAAAGGTTCCACCGGGAACCGCCGGCCCAAACGGCAACGACCGGATGGAGGGTATGGTCCATCTCGCTGGATAAGATCACTCTTCTATATATAAAGGTTCCGGCTGGATTTTTTTGATAAAATTTTTACAACATGTCCTTCATCAAGTATAGTTTATCAACACCAAAGTTCAGCTTAAAATTCAACCGGGAAGGCAGTCAAATTAGATTTTGAAGATAACTGCGTAAAAATATAAATATAAAACGCAGTTATTTTAAAAATTTATTTGCTTGTCTTTTTGATTGAATTTTAAGATGAAATTTGGTGTGGATAAATGATGTGATTTTTCTCGCACTTAAAATATGTAGCAGTATAGGGTATAAGTACGAGTATTAGAAGAATCAGAACCGATATGCGTCTTCTTGGGTTAGATGGTAGTTTGACTTTGAAGAGAGCAAATTGGAGAACATATATACGTGTGGATGACTGATCTCTTCTCTTCCTTTATCTCTTTTATTTTTTATCTATCTTGTGTTCTTATGTTATCTTTATCTTATCCACTTATCTTACTTTCTCTTTTTATTTTTCTTATTTTTCTTGTCTTTTATTTCTTATTTTTCTTGTCTTTTATTTTTTATTTTTCTTATTTTTCTTGTCTTTTATTTCTTATTTTTCTTATCTTTCTTCTCTTTTTGGATCTGATATTATGGATCGACTCATGTTAGCTGATCCCAAAATTCTTGAAGATTAAGAATTGGATGTTGTTGTTGTTGCATCTCTTTTAACCACTACCGAACATTGCACTTTTATTATTACACTTACAACAAATTTTACTCATAATTAGGGAATTAACTCAACATCCATTATAAGTTTAGATGATGCTGATTTTTAAAAAGTTATAAGTTTTGATTATAAGTTTTGCATAGGCTGACCACCCTCGCTACGCCCTATTATGATTACACGAGGATCGGAGCTTAAGTGGAGACGTGTTTTGATGTGTGTGGCGATAGGATTTAGTTTTGAACACTGGTGAAGACGGAAACAAAACAGTTGTGATTGCAGAAATAGCATTTAAAGCGGAAGGTTCAATTTTCTTCTATATAAAATGCACCGGGAATGCCGTGTTCTAATAAATTAGATCGATCAGCACCAATATTATTATAAGGAAAGGAGTACGTTTTAGAATTTGGATTTGGAAACACAACTTTAAGCTAGCATCATTATACTGTAAAGGCCAGGCCAGGCCAGCCCAACGACTATGGCTTCCAAGCCAGGACTCCTCACTGAGTGGCCATGGGCAAGGCTCGGCAGCTTCAAGGTATATATAAATATATACTAGTATATTTCAATCACTTATTTTTTTATATAGTCTTCACTAGCTTAATTACTCTTCCATGCATGTTCAAACTTTATTTGTCAATTTAAGTATATAGAAGTTATTTATCTAGCTTGTGGGGTTTGTTTGTGATTTTTCGACAAATTAAATCAAATAAACAGTTAGGTTCATCTTTGTTTGTTCAAGACCGGCTGGGTTTGAGATATAAGATTCATTTATTGAACGGATATTCTAATCTGCTAGAGTGAGGGATATATTGAAGCTATGCATAAAAATTCAACAATATATGTCGCCCCTATATGTTTCTAATCAATTCAATAATCTCCCGAAATATATATATATATATATATATATATATATATATATATATATATATATATATATATATATATATATATATATATATATATATATACTACGTATCATTTAAAAAAAGAATAATATAATGTGATTCAAATGATATTCTATCTGCTAGTACTGCACAAAAATTAATCACTCTGTTTCACTCCTTAAAATTCAGTATAAAAAGAGTTAAAGAGGAGAATCACATTATTAGGGTAATGAAATATGTATGCATAATGCATGCTTACCCAATTGGGGAGTGTTGGCGCTTGTCTTACTTAATGTCATGCCTCCTTTGTGTCCCCTTTACTGAAAATGAAAGGAGTTGTAAGAAAAAATATTACGTAATTTGCACCTTTCTCTTTCAACTCTGTTAAGTCACATGTTCTATACGGTCGGGTCGGTATTATGAACAAAATGCGTAGTATTGTTATAAAGCCTACTTCTTGTACATCCCAAATCTATACGACCCATACACGCGGTCTTAAAAGCTACAGTTTTAAACGTGAATACACTATTTACATACGGAGTACAAAACACAAACAAAATGTATGGGCGTGTACGGATTTGGCGCGTAAAAAAAGTTTTATTGTATTAAATTTTCTCATTCAGACCGCCTAGCCTGCATAAATGGGCAGGTTTGAACACATATATTTTCCCACACACCTTGCCCGCCTCGTAGTAACATATGGACGGATTTGATTCGTTATGTTTAAATTTAAGTTTCTAGTTCTGAACAACTAGCCGAACAAATATAATACGAAGTATCCATTTTTATACTTAAAGATAATACTTTTGTTTGAATTTAAGTTTTAATTATACTTTTCAAAAGTTTGTGTGTAAATAGTACTACCTCCGTCCCGGTGGACTTTGCCAAGTTCAAAGTAGGTGAGAAATAAGAATAGTAAACACTGTGTGGTTGAGATTTGTGTAGAGGAGAGAGAAATGAGCATAACCACAAATCAATTGCTTTAATAGAAAAAAGATAAAGTTTTTTGGAACAACCAAAAAGGGAAAGTTGACAAAGTTCAATAAGAGTACGTTCTTGTGTATGTGGTGAGAGGCCGATAAACATTATAAACTTATTAACAACTTCTTAGACACAAGCATTGAATAACCATTACTCCTAATGTATTTCAGATTTTCCATTTTCCATGTTATTTTATTACTCCCTCCGTCCCGAAAAGGTTGGTCAAAGTTGACTTTCAAGAGGATTAATAAAGTAAAAACCATGTGGTTGAAATTTGTGCAGAGGAAAGAGAATTATATAATTTTAGCCACATATTCCTTAATTTAAATGGAAATGACAAATCTTTTTGGAGAATCCATAAAAGGAAATTTGGCCGACCTTTTCGGGAGGGAAGTAGTAATTTATAAGGGAGTGTATATTTCAATTGTTGTATGTGCTTAATTAAATAGTCCGTTTGAAATATGGAGTAGTTTATATGGATGTCTGACACGTGTGTTTGAGAATACATGCAGTATGTGGTGTTGGCTCCATTTGTGGTTCACAGCGCATACAATTTCATAAAACAAAAGCCAAGCGACAGGGATCCAAACGTGTTGCTCATTTTCCCCTTCCTACTCCTAAGGATGCTCCATAACCAGCTGTGGATTTCGCTGTCCCGTTACAGAACGGCCAAAGGTGAAAACAGGATTGTTGACAAAACCATCGAGTTTGAACAAGTTGACCGCGAAATGAACTGGTAATTAAATCAATCATATACGTACTATTAACTACAATCAACTTATTAACAATCATATATAGTCCCCATTGGATTTGGTTTCTAGTAAATAGGCTTCATCTATTAAATATTTGTCACATGTTTATTCATGAGTTTAAAAGCCCGTTTGGTAGCACGAAAATCAGTTGTTTTGGCTGATTCTGCTGAAATTTATGAAGTTCTGGCTGAAGTGACTGCATTGGCTGATTCTGCTGATACAAGAAAAAAATATTTTTAAAATATATTTTATTAATAAAATAAAGAAAAAATTATATGAAAAAATAGTTAAAATGATATCTACGGTAACTTCAGCCAACTTCAACTTTACTTTCAGTGTATTAGGAATTTCGTTTTGAATGATGTATGCATATATGTTGCGGTGTTGTTTACACGCAGGGATGATCAGATCATATTAAATGGGATTTTATTTTATGTGGGGTACTATGCCATACCATTGGCAAAACATATGCCAATTTGGAGGACGGATGGGATCATAATTACGGCGTTGCTTCACATCGGCCCCGTCGAATTCCTCTACTACTGGTTGCACAGGGCGTTGCACCACCACTTCCTCTACACCCGCTACCACTCCCACCACCACTCATCTATCGTCACCGAACCCATTACATGTAAGCTTAATAAACTAAATGTGCACTTTCCATCGTCCCTAAATTTTTTATCAAGTTTGAATGTCAAGTGGAATAGCAAATTAAAACGGTGTAATTTGGATTTATAGAGAGGAGATATAAATGATTTTAACCACAAAGTAATCACTTTGTAAAAGAAATGAAAAAGTTTCGACACAACCAAATGATAATCATACTCCGCGGTATTATATAGGTGTCAATTTACCGTTTGTGTTACATCCAAAAGATGAAATGGATCTCATTAATTAAAAATGATCGTTTTTAATTTGAATTAGAATGAGTATTGAAATGGGTGTAGTCCAATGGATGACCATCCAAAGGAGGTCTTGGGTTCAATTCCCACTAAAGGGAGATGAAGGAGGTCTTGCTCTCAATGATTCTTCCTACCTTCACGGAGTTGCTCAGCGGCTGAGAAGGGAGAGGATGGTAATGAAGGTAGCGGGTTCGTGTGGTGGGAGGAGCAGCCTGAAAGGTGATGTAAGTCCTGCTGGATTCGTCCTTTGAAGCGAGTACTGACGAGCCTGACTGTGATCAGATCCGAATTTAACTGTCTAGGGGCTTTGGAGGGTAGTTCATAGATTTCAGGATTATGAGAGCGTAAGCCCCGACACCTGGATTATCAAAAAAAAAAAGAGCTAAAAAATTATAACCCCCATCAAACAAACATCCTTTAGTTACAAAATGACTAAATACTAAGAGCTTATAAAATATACACCTTAGTAGATCGACATCTTATCACCCAGCTTAGAGAAGCTGTTTAATTTTAATCAATGTTGCCCCTAATGTTGCTCTACTGTCATTAAAAGCAATGAGTTGGATTAATTCCTTTGACACCTCATCCACCTGTCGAACAACGAGTTTCACATTTGTTTAATCAGAGCTTAATTAATTCTCACTCCATTCCAAGACAATTTAGTACCCCACAAGCTACTTCCCTATCTATCTCCCACCTAATTGGAAATCTATAGCTTGCAAAGGAAAATAAGTCAACAATAATTTAATGAGTGTGAATCATCTAAATATGACTAAAAAATGGCCAAAAAGCACAAATAGGAATACATTATTTAAAATCCCCTATGTATGACTATTTATGTGTGTTTGGACAAATATACCTTGTAGCTTTTCAAATGTTTTAATTAATTTTAAACTCATAAAAATAAAAATAAAGCGTGAAAAAATAATAAAAATTAATACAATATTTATAAATAAAAATTAAAAAAAAACTAAAAAAAATTAAAAGCGTAAAAAAAACATTATCAAATACAAATAAGAATATCAGTGTATTCGATTCATATAGTTTGTGCTCGATTCGTGATTCGAATTCGTATAAGACGATTCGAATTCGGAAAATTCAAATACAAATACTAATAAGAATATTAAATTTGATTCGAGTTGTTATCAAATACAAATAAGAATATCAGTGTATTCGATTCGAATATTAATCAAATATATTCGATTAATAATAATAGTAATATTAATATCAATATTAATAAAAATAGTAATAACACTATAATATCAAAGTGTAGCCCATATATACACTTTTGCATACAGATTCCAAGCCCATTTGTAATAAATCAGAATATAAATATGAATACAAATAATTTTTTTTGGTTCAAATGTATTTCAAATACAATACAAATAATTATGTATTCGATTTGAACAATAAAATTAGAGTTGTTTGACTTTGATATATACAATTATCAACTTATTTCACACATTATAAGTATATTTTCTAATATTTGTGCGTTGTGTTTTATTTCAAAAGGTTTGAAATAGATTTATATTTATTAATCATCATAAAATAATTATTTCACTTTAGTATATTGTGCACCATCTAAAAAAATGTGCACCATCTAAAAATGCATTGATCCATGAAATTTAAATTCTAAAAACACATATTAAGTCATAGCATGCATTTACAACATAAAAAATAATGAGTATAAGAAAAATTATTTTAGAGTGATATTTGTCTAATATTTAACATATTCGTATATGATTCGTTAACTATTCGTATTCTTAAACAAATACAAATATAAATCGAAATTAATATTCGTTTCATATTTGAATTCAAATTTGTATTCGAAAAAATTAAACAAATACAAAGTCTATACAACGCCTCATTATTCGACTCGATTCGGTTCGTTTACAACCTACTTCTGCCACCCCCTCCGATCACAGGAGGAAATCTACCAACACTATTAGTAATGCCATAATAATGACAAATTCAATGAAAGTAGTGACGTTATCAACAGTAATAATGCCATTTTCTTGGCATTGTCAAAAAAACGACATTTTACAAAAAAATGACATTTTTTCACCGATAGGAGGTGGTGATGTTGGGAGGCGGCGGGATGGGTATTCATATTTTTTTAATGAGTTTTTACTATTTTTTTTAAATCTTTCAATTTTTAAAAAAGTTTTATTTTATTCTATTTTAGTCTTGTAACTTTCGGCTGTCATCGTTTTTGGTCCTGTAACTTTAAGCACTAGCAAATTTGGTCCTGTAACTAATAAATCTTTGTAATTTAAGGACTTTCTCACCGGAAAGTATACTTTCCGGCGGAAAAGTTCGACGCAGGCAACATCTTTTCCGGTATTCTATTGCCAAAAATTGTACTCATACTTTTCAGGGGAAAAGTCCTTAAATCGCAAATATTATTTAGTTAGAGTCACAAATTTGCAAGTAACTAAAGTCACGGGACTAATAATGATAACGGCCGAAAGTTACGGGATGAATATTGTAAATTTCCCATATTTTATTATCATTTTATTAGTTTTACGATCTTTTAAATATTTTTTATGATTTTTCTATGAATTAAAGAATTTCATTATAAAGTAATATCCTTATGGGTATGTAGGGTACAAAATCAATGTTTAGTCCTATTGGGGAGAATTTAAAAAATCAAAGTATTATTTGTGCATTTTAGGTAAACTTTAATCCTAATTCTAGAATTTAATTCCACCACCACGGCTACGTCTTTTAAAACTTTGTTACCCTGATTATAATTTTAGGAGGTTTGCCTAACGATACCGTGGAGTTACAATAGGTGTAATAATAATAGTAGTAATAATAAGAATAATACTCGTAATAACTAAAGTAATTTTCTTTAGCGATTTCAGCTTATTCATACATATTAGTAATTTCAATTCTACTTAGTTTGATCATGACACAATTCAATGGACTAATAAAAAATAGTGACAATTTTGGTACCTTTCTAAAAAAATGGGGTACTGTACCTATCATTCATTTGATTGGACCACATCACTTTATCATTTTTAATTTAGATTTAAATAATTCAACTGCTACATTATGGTACCTTATGGGTACAATAGAATCTACCATAAAAAATACTAGTAACACATTTAATGAAAAAGTGACCGACAAGACTATAAAATCGGAGATAAGTGTTTCAGAACATGCTCTAATACTAGTAATAGTAATATTAATAATAGCAGAAGTAATACTAAAAATAAAAATGTATTGGTGCAGCGGTGATTCATCCATTTGCGGAGCACATAGCATACTTCATCCTGTTTGCCATCCCGATGCTTTCAGCTGTAGGGACCGGAACTGGATCCGTGGTGGCTTTTACTGGCTACGTTCTCTACATTGACGTCATGAACAACTTGGGCCATTGCAATTTTGAGCTTGTTCCCAGCTGCCTTTTTTCCATCTTCCCCCCTCTCAAGTACTTCATGTACACCCCTTCGTAAGTACATACACTTCTCTATCTCAAAAATTTTGTCAATACTTGTTATTAGTATTTAAAATGAGCTTTGTTTCCAAGAATAGCTATCATTAAGTGTGGATGATGAAGCAGGTACCACTCTCTGCACCACACTCAATTCCGAACAAACTACTCACTCTTCATGCCAATGTACGACTACTTCTACAACACAATGGACGTCTCAACAGACACATTGTACGAGAAATCGCTGGTAAGGCAGGGCGATAGGCCCGACGTGGTGCACCTAACCCACCTCCTGACCCCAGAGTCCATCTACCATCTCCGCATTGGATTCGCAGCCTTGGCCTCCAACCCCCACTCCTCCAAGTGGTACTTCTGGTTAATGTGGCCTGTCACTGTTTGGTCAACCTTGATCACTTGGATATATGGCCGCACTTTCATTGTTGAGAGAAATTTATTCAAGCATCTCAAGTTGCAAACATGGGCTCTCCCCAAGTATCGCGTTCAAGTAAGTAGTCATTCATTACTTAATCACTATTAACTAGGTTGGAGTTGATTAATTATTATTAAGTGCAAGGCTTATTTCATTTGCAGTACTTCATGCAATGGCAAAGAGAGAGTATCAACAAATTGATTGAGGAAGCTATTTTAGAAGCTGACGAGAAAGGGATCAAGGTCTTAACTCTTGGCCTATTGAATCAGGCAAGTCACATATATATACAATTTCTTGCTACCTATACCTTTTATAGTACATTAGTTGTATGATTGTATATACATATAGCTAATGTGTGAGGTGCTTATTGATTAGCTTGGTGTCATACATACAAAGTGTTCACTCAATTTACATATTTTCCATCATAAATAGACACAGTTTAGTTTGATGTTGCATAGAATTTTGTCAGCCTAGCTTACATTTTAACTTTAGAGTGATTGGCTTTCTAGCTTTGCGTGACTAAAACAAAACTGTACTTTTACTTGTGATGATAAAACTTGAATGCAGGAGGAGGAGTTGAATAGAAATGGGGAGCTTTTCATACGAAAACACCCAGAGTTGAAAGTGAGGGTTGTGGATGGAAGTAGCCTAGCAGTTGCGCTTGTCCTTAACGCTGTTCCCACCGGAACAACTCAAGTTGTGCTTGGAGGAAACTTGTCTAAAGTTGCCTTTTCTGTTGTCTTCGCACTATGCCAACGTGGAATCCAGGTACCATTATTGATAATTTACCTCACTATCCATGAAACTAATAACCCATATATAATGTTGTACTCGTATGAGTTGTAGCAATTACTATGTACGAAGTATGAGTTATGTACTCAATAATAAAATATGTTTATTTTTTTGTTTTTAGGTTGCTCTATTGCGTGAGGATGAGTACAAGAGACTTAAGGGTAGGCTAAACACCGAGTCAGCTAATAATCTTGTCCTTACCAAATCTTTTTCAGCAAAGGTACTTAAGTGAGAACCTTCTATTTTTGATAATATACATTGTATATGTGTGGGCGCATTAATAACCTCCACTTTATTAGTCATAATAGCTTGTCTTTACAGCATTCAGCTACACCATTTTGACCATACCCTGTCGTGTACAGATTTGGCTTGTAGGGGATGGAATGAGAGAAGATGAACAAATGAAAGCGCCAAAAGGGACATTGTTTATCCCCTTCTCTCAGATCCCTCCAATTAAATCGCGCAAAGATTGCCTTTACCTAAGCACACCTGCAATGGTTGCCCCTAAGCACCTCGAGAATGTGGACTCTTGCGAGGTTAGAAACAAACTACATTACCTCTCACACACTGATTAAGAAGCATTGATAGATTATTGTTTCCAATTCACATATCTTCGATCTTTAATTAGTAATCACAAGTGTGTATAAATATACATATACCTTACGATTTTTCTCTGGCACTATGCTGACAGAATTGGTTACCAAGAAGAGTGATGAGTGCCTGGAGGGTTGCAGGAATAGTACATGCCCTGGAGGAATGGAATGTTCACGAGTGTGGGAAAACCATGTTTGACGTTGGAAAAGTGTGGACAGCCAGTCTAGACCATGGTTTCCGCCCCTTTACACTCTCCCCTACACAACTCAAGGCCTGATATTTATCATTCCATACCATCCATTTTAACCATTTAATAGTAATAAACAATACTAGTATCTATATCTATGTAATCTGGTGTATAATAATAACAATTTAGTTTCTTGTTTAATGATTTTCTACTCCCTACTCTACGTGCAATATGTGTTCGTCGAAATGGTGTTTTGTATTATGTATTTCAGTATGTAAGTTTCTCCATCAATTAATGATGAGCCCAATGTATATGTTTTGACATATGGCTTCCATCACCACCCTATTTTAGTTCTCCAGTGTTCTGCTCTATAATTTTTTATTACAGCATATATAGATAGTTTCACACAGCCCAATATAAATACTAGAAGCTAGAATAACATATTTATCACACTATGAGATCCCGTTTTGTGACACTGAAAATGGTTGAATTTGTTGATTCTGTTGAAATTTAGGTAGTTTTGGCTCAAGTAGCTGGAGTGATTGATTCTGCCGAATGATGAAAAAATTGTATTCTAAATATACCTTCACCGTCCCATTTTATGGGTCCTACTTTGGTTTGGCATAATTATTAATAAAGTGGTTGAAAGGTAAAAATTGTGGTTGAAATTTGAGTATAACAAAGTGAAATGGTGTATATTACATACAAAGTAGTTGTTTTGCAAAAAAAAAAGAAAGGTGACACTTGTTTTAAAAAAACTTAAAAAGGGAATAAGACATGTAAAATGAGACGAAGTATTTATTACTCTTCTATCTCGTTTGGTCAGAATTGACTTGCACGTAGAATAATAAATTGAAAACTATATAGTTGAAATTTGTATAAAGGAGAGAAAAATAACTTTAACCACGAATATGGTAACCAACGTATACAAGAAGCAAAATTGTAACCACAAATATGGTAAAACAAATACAGTTGAAATTTGCATATATGCCAATCTTACAATATTTGTGGTTACAACATTGCTCATAAATGTACACGCTATGAAAACATTTTATTTTTTTACCTTCCGCCCTTTTACCCTTTCTCTTCCGTCTCCAGCCCTCTTTCCGTCGATTCCCCCTTTCCTCTTTTCTCCACGCTATTTCTTTTCTTCTCACTCGTTTCTTTTCTTTCTTCTGCACACCCCCTCAACCACCAACGAAATCCCTACATACGCCTTACACCCAATTGCTAATGGCTCCTCAACCTTAAACTCATAAGGTAACAATCTGTCTTCTTTTTGTTAATGTTTATTTAGCTTTTGATTGTATTTTTTGATTGAAATGTATGTTTAATTTATATTGTAATGATTTCTAGCTGAATATTTTGCTTAACTATTCGAATTCATGGTGTCCATCAGAATACTTTAGGTTAAGAATTCATTTTTTTCCTCATGCCCACAATGTGTTTGATAAAAAGTTTCAATGATATATTCTGGCATTTATTTCTGTTAACTTCGTAGAACCATCTTTATCAAACTTTAAAAAGTTCATTAACCTGTCCAAGTTATATAAAATAATATAAACTACTTGAGGTTAGTATTGCTAGTTGTCATTCTATTAATTATTTGTTAGGATGCTTGTTATAACTTGTTTGATTTGTCATTCTGATCTTGACATTCTTTATTGAATATTGTTTTTTTGCACTAATAACATGTTTAACAAGAGCCAACTTCTTTCCCTCTTGCTACTTACCTTTATCAACACCAAATGTGATGCATTGCTAACATTTGATGCCAGGTAAAAGTTTACTCCTTAGCTGTAGGTGTCCAGAGTCCAGACAGATATTGAGTATGTTGATGAAGCAACCTATAGAAAGGAATGTTTAGAAATGAATGTTTGGGTCCTAAAAGACAGTCTTACACTCTTACATGTTTAGGTGCTAAAGGTTTGTATAGACTTTAGTTTGTTTAGTGAACCTTTTGTTTATGTCTTTAAGTGTTTTAAGCTGGTTTATATGAATGATTATGTGAGATTGGTTTTTTGGTTTACTAGTTTTTGGTTGAAGCATGTTTTTGCTGCTCAATTATAAATGGATATATTTTTGCAGTGATGAGAAGGGTGGTGATAAACCAAATGTCTTTATGAAATTGATGCCAAATCATGCTTGATGAGTGACTGTCATTAATATATTATTGCACTTCTATACTTTGCCACTAATTATGAACTCTTGAAGCCTAATTGTGGTCTTTGGATATGGATATGGTTCTTACCAAGGTTGTCAAAGTCATGTGCCTGAGCGCTTAAACGCACCAGGCGCAGCGCTGGAGGCTTCCATTGCCCTAAACTAGGTGAGTCGCACCTTCCCCTCTGAAGCACATGTAGGGCGCAAGAAGCGCAGTAGCGCAGAGGCATTGTTAAGCGCTCGCTTAACACACCTAAGAGGGGAACTTTTATTTCCGTTAATTTCACTAACTTTCACACGTGCGCCCAACACAAAACCAGAAACGAAGCCGATATTTTTATCGAAGCCCACGTAAATAAGGTCAAAACAACTTAACCTACGCTAAACACATAACGTACACATCCTCCCGCTCTGCTCTGCTCTATTGTACCTGTTCGCTACATCCTCCTTTCCCTCCACATCAACCGCACCGCAGAAGCTTGCAGCAGTCCAGCACTCAACAATCAAAGTAAGTTTTCTTCTCCTTCATCTTCCATTTTTTTCTTTTCACATGTAAGTACACATTTTTTAAGAGTCTACTCTGTAGTCTGTATATTCTGTGTTATTGTCTTATACTCTTATATATGCTTAAGTTTCACAGTTAGTGTGTTTCAGTTAATAAGTAAGTATACTTCTTGTAACTGATGAAAAAACATATGTTTAAGTATAGTATGCTTAACATGTTTTACTGTAAACATGAAAAAATAGTACTACCTCCGTCCCTCTTATATTGGGTCGGAAGAGAGTGACACGATTATTAAGAAAAGTGGGGTTGTGTGGTTGATATTAATTGATAAAGTAAGAATAAAGTAAGAATGATTTAGAACCACACAAACTTTACCAAATATGGTATGAGACAATTTTAGTGGGACTTCCCGAAAAGGTAAAATGGGACAATATAAGAGGGACGGAGGGAGTATTTTTTAGTTAGTATGTTTCAGTTAGTACTTAGTATGTTTCAGTTAGTATGCTTAAGTATGTTTCAGTTAGTATTTTTCAGTTAGTATGCTTAACATGTTTTACTGTAAACATGAAAACATAGTATGTTTCAGTTGTTAGTATGCTTAAGTATGTTTCAGTTAGTATGAAGTATAGTATGTTGTATGCTTAACATCTTTTAATGTAAACTTGAAAACATACTGTAACATGCAAGTATAGTATGCTTAACATGCTTAACTGCTTAAGTATATTAATTTTTTATATAGTGCAGTCTGCATATATAATATCTGCCTTGTGGCCCTTGTGTATTTTTTATAGGACATGGAAGGTGGAACTCCAGCCACGGCTTCTGAAGCTGCTAAGTCAACAAGAAATGACCCAACTTGGAATCACAACTACTGTGCTGACCCAAACAATCAAAATGCAGTAACTTGCATGTATTATGGAAAGGAAACAAATGGGGGGATATACAGGGCAAAACTTCACCAAATAGGAGGTGATAGGAATGCAAAAGCTTGTTTGAAATGCCCAGAAGATGTTAAAAAGTTGCTGAAAGACTATATGCAATAAAAAAGGATGCTAAGATCAACTACGATAAACTGCCTGAGCATCATGATTTTGATGCATTTTATGATCTGGAGGACGATGACACTGAAGTTGAGGAGCTGGAAACTGATTCTAGAGGCCACCTTAAAATAATTCGTGATGTACAGAAGGGAAAGGCACCTGTAAAGAAGGGAAAAAACATAAAAGGGCCTATGGACGCTTTTATCCACAAAAGCCAGAAACTGTAGTCGAGCTTCGAAAGCAAGGAAGACTGAAACAGTTGAAGATTGACGAGAAGTTGGATAAGCAAAGAAGAGAGGTAGCTATTCAATACATATGCAACATGTTTTACCATAATGGCATTCCTTTCAATGTTGCCCGATCACATTCATTTAAATGTGTTGTTGAAGCAATTGGACAATATGGTCCAAATTTGAAGCCTCCTAGCTACCATGAAGTGAGGGTTACATGTTTGAAGAAAGAAGTTGCCAACATGCAGGATATGCTAACTGAGCATAGAACTCTGTGGGTGAAACATGGTTGTTCAATTATGGAAGATGGTTGGACTAGCACCACAAGTCAGTGTATTGTGAATTTCTTAGTTCATTCTCTGGCTGGGTGTGTGTTTGTCAAATCTGTGGATGCCTCTGCATATTCAAAGACTGGTGCAAAGGTATTAGAACTACTTGATGGATTTGTTGAGTATGTAGGAGATGCTAATGTGGTCCAAGTGGTTACTGATAATGGCCCTAATTTTAAGTTAGTTGGTAAATTGTTAGAAACTAAGAGACCAAACATATATTGAACACCATGTGGTGCGCACTGCATTGATCTCATGCTCGAAGACATTGGGAAGTTGCCTTTGGTTTTGAAAACTTTAAGACGGGCAATGAGTTTGACTTGTTTTATTTATAACCGTGTGGGATTGTTGAACTTAATGAGGAGGTACACAGGGCAAAGAAATCTGATCAGACTCGGGAAGACAAGATTCTGTACTTGCTACCTCACTTTAAAGAGCATCTACAAGCAAAAAGCTAATCTTCGGGCTTTGTTCTCCAAGAGTGAATGGAATTCTAGCAAGTGGAAAAAAGAGGCGGGTTGAAAACAAGTCGAAGACTGTATGATGAAGCCTACATTCTGGGATAATGCTTATTACATACTCAAACTTATGGTCCCTCTTGTGAAAACTCTTCGACTTGTTGACAACGAAAGAAAACCAGCTATGAGATACATCTATGAGGCTATGGATAGAGCCAAAGAAGCCATAATAAAAGCTTTTAATGGAAGAGACGACAACTATAAAGAAACATTCAAAATCATTGATTCTAGATGGCAAGATCAGCTTCACCATCCCCTGCACGCAGCTGGCCATTACCTCAACCCCGCCTCTTTTTATGCCGATCCGCAAATTGAATTCAATAGTGAGGTCACAACTGGAGCTAAGGACATGCTTAATAAGAATCATCCTCCCACCTACTGAGAGAAGTTTGTGCTTCCATCCTGCAAGCTTATAATCAAATTTGCTTCCACCTACTGAGAGAAGTATATTATCAAAGTGGGAGTTGAGGGTTCAGCCAGTATGTATGTTGGCACCCAGATAAGTGAAAGGAAAAGAGCCACGCTTAATGTTGAAAGTATCATAAACATTATTGAAACTGTAACTTTTAGCATGTTTGGAAATTATATAAAAACTCTTATCTTTACTGATCAATTGCCCAGAATAAATCTCATACTCTCTAAAAATGTGGTGCATACCACTCAAAGTTTTTTTCCCAGCATTAGAAAGAACAATTAAGTCATCCGCAAAAGAGAGATGATTTATATAGGCATCCCAGAGTAAGTTTTGTAAGCAACACCATTACCATAATTAAAAAAATGATTAAGCTTCTTAGAAAGGACCTCAACAACAATAATAAACAGGATAGGAGATGGTGGATCACCCTGCTTGACCCCTCTAGAAGGTTTAAAAAAACCATTCGGAGCACCATTAATCAGGACAGAAAACCAAGTGGAATTAAGATTGTTAGCAATTAACTCGACAAAGGTACTTTGAAAACCAAGCTTTTTAAGGACATGAATAATGAAAGACCAAGAGATTCTATCAAAAGCTTTAACCATGTCAAATTTAAAAATGATATTATGACCTCTCGTTTTTTTATCAATGTGGTTCACTAATTCCCTGAGGACCAAAATACTATCAGAAATCTCTTTGCCCTTTTGGAAAGCAGCCTGCTCTTTAGAAATAATTTTGGGAAGGAGAGGGGTGATTCTGATAGTGATAATTTTAGTAAAAACTTTGTTTATAAAGTTACCGAGGCTAATGGGCCTAAATTTAGAGAATTGGTAGGCATTGGGTTCTTTCGGTATGAGAGCAATCAGGGTGTGACCTATAGTTTTGGGGATAGGGACACCACAGAAGTACTCCTTAACCGCATTTAGCAGATCATACTGGATAATCTCATAAGCAGTTTGGTAGAAGAGACCATGGAAACCATCACTACCAGGTGCACTAGCCTTATCCAGACTGAAAACAACCTCTCTTAACTCATTTTGACTTATAGGCCTGAGCAGAAATTCATTATCCTCATAAGAGATTACAGAATCAATGTTATGCAAATAATCATTGTAGTTTAGGGAATCATTAGCATCATCAGCGGTCAACAGGGTAGAGAAGAAAGAAGTAGCAGCCTTACCAATGTCCTCTTTGGACTCACACCAGGTATCATCCTCATTTTTTATTCTAGAGATATTCAATTTTTGATGTTTGGCCTTAAGGGAGAGATGGAAAAACTTTGGGTTTGCATCCCCCTCCTTTAGCCATTTAATTTTCGCCTTCTGCCTATAAAAAGTATTTATGTGAGCAGAGTATTGAATATATCTAGCCTGAGCATCTTTAAGAAGAAGATAATCATCTTCAGAGAGGGAATCAGAAAGGTTTTTTCCAGATTAGTAATCTCAGTTTCAGCTTCAGTCTGTTTATCAAAAATGTTACGAAAACTATTTTTTTTCCAATCCCTGAGAGTAGTTTTAAGCCGCTTGAGTTTAGTTGAGAACTTCCGCATTCCATAGCCATCACAAGGAGTATTCCAGGAGGCTTGGACAATTTTTAAAAAATCTTTATGGTTTGTCCACATATGCTGAAATCTGAAGCTTTTAGAGCCACTTAAGGGGTCAGTATGATCTTGAAGAATAAGAGGGTTATGGTCAGACACACAACAATTCAACAATTCAACTTTTTTATTTAAATTCCAAAAAGTGTGATATTCCTTCAAAATATTCACAATACCATTTACACCAAATATAAGTTATTTATATTAAAATTTCTTTGTTCATACATAAGTTACCTATTTTATAACAACGTTTATATAAAAACAATAATATGAGTTACAGTGGGGGTGCAGTGATGAAGGCAAAGGCTACTCAGATTGGTTTTATCTCTATTCGATCTATTGGTTATGGATGACAAGAAACGCAACAAGATTTGATGAAATCACTCCGAAAGAAGAGGAAGTTATTGCATGGATTGGGTATATTGTATACAAGATCCTTTACAATATATACCCAAAAAGGGGCTATACTAATGGAGGATAACCCATCACCTCAAAAAATCTTAGTAATAGAACACATCCACGACCAAGTACAAAATAGGTAATTTATAAATTTACCGTTCATTCAAAAAATAATATAAGTTACACAAAAGTACAACATAAATTACACCCAACACTTTTGTACCACAGATTACACAAAATTTACCTACATTTACAATATTGTGCGCATGAAGTAGTTCATCTCACGATATAACAACTACGGAGTATTATATTACATGACACGTGTCATTAGGTATCCTCAATATTCTGAGTTTTGGTAAAATAAAAATTCAACTGAACTATGGTATTCAAATATTATCATTAAAATAAAGAGATTTTAATTATTCTATCCATTTAATTTAAAAGGCATAGACTGAGCATTCTTAAAATGAGATTTATGTGTAGAAAATCAATGTGGTAATTACCCATGCAGTCTAATTTTATCTACCGCATATCATTTATGTCTCCTTGCTTTCTCTTTTCACTTTTAACTTTTCTGTTTGCAATTTTAGGTTTTTAATTTCACTTTTACACTTGTTCTGACAACCTCCTCCATAGACCACAACCATCAGAGGGAATTTCTCGACATTTGTGGTTGTTGTAATAATCTGGGAGGCTGATGAAGGGCGTAAAGATTGGTGTTTCTCATCTCTAATCGTCAATGGGACTGAGTTTGGATTCCGATATCCTAGTGTCGTCATGTAGTCAAGCGATCGATCTTATGGCCTCGTGACCGGGAACAAAGAGCGGAGGCTTTCATGTGTTTCCTTTGCATATTAGGGAGTAGATCATCCTCATGCATCCAGGTGAGGTCTTTTTGAATGTTAAACTGAGTGGATCCTCCTCCTTCGTCGCATCAGCCAACACTTTCAATTGAACAAAATTTTGTTGATTGGGAGATGAGAGCTTGGGTGCCAACGAGATCTCGGTTCGGCAATTCACGCCATTGGATCGACGAATCTTTTTGGCGTAGACGCCTGGCCACCACGAACACGTCAACAAAATAAGGTCTACATTTCTAGCGATGGGGCGTTCACATCTGCGACCGGGATTCGTCATCGATTGGCCGGTGGTCTCTAGTCTGGGAAGCGATCCGTCTCCTGTACAGAGCAGTGAGCAGAGAAGAAGATTACATAGTAGGAAGGCGACCTAGTGATCGGGCTAAACTTGCAAGTATACAAGTGCCGATGTATTAATAAATTCCGGTAAAATACCGGGTCGAATCCATAGGGAAACATCGTTTTATAAAGTTCGGTATGGAGAATTAAAATAGAGAATAAAAGTAAAGTGTAGTGATTTTTCTTGTTTAAGTGAATATATGATAAATGACCAAGGCATCGGGATTCACCCAAACGTTAACTAGGATTCAATATAAGTTCTTTGTCAATTCTTATGAGTACGGTATTGCTATTATATTCTCGACTCCCATTAAGGCAGTGAGAACGTGGTTTTCCCTACGTGTAAGTCCTATTATGACTCACATTCATCTAGAGAAAACCCCTTTGAATATTTCTATCCTCAATACTTTGTATGTTTATTCTTCTAGAGAATGATTTATATTGCAAGGTTAATTGACCATCTGAACCTGTAAATGTTATGCAACGCAATTGTATTGATTTAATTTAAAGAGAGTAAAACACGAATTATTTATTTTAGTGTCCAATTGATATTTCAATGTTAGTTACTTCATATCAATACATATATTATACTACTACGTTTCATAACATATATGGAAAGTTAAACATAAGAAGAATAAATCATAAAATTTGACTTAGAACAAATATAACAAACTAGCGGGCGTAAAGGTTCATCCCGAGCCTTAGAGTAAGGACTTAGCCTCTAACGCTCATATTAGTCAAGATTACAATACTTTAAATGTGGAAGAACATGTAAATATAAATGAAATATCACCTAAACATCAATGGTTGAAAAAATGGGCTTCCGCTTCCACACCTCAAGAACACCATGAAGAACAAAGAATTGAAAAACTATAAAAACTAGTTATGAACTAATGAATTAAAATGGGTTTGGATGTTGAATTTGGTATAGATTGGAGAGTGTATATAGACTTGAAAATGATATTTTATGGTCTATTCATGATCCTCAATCAACTTGGAGTGAAATTTTCGAGCCATGCCTTTCAAATATCTTGATTTCAACTCCAAATATTCGAGCACGTCGTCTGGTTTTCTGCAGATTTCAGCACGACTGGCACCGATTGGACATAACCGGTGCCGGTTTGGAGACAATTTATTCTTATTTCACACATGACCGGCACCGGTTAGGTCATACGACTGGCCCCAGTTGCAAACAGTAGCTCCCTTTCACAGAATTTCAGCCTGAACGGCATTGGTTGCGGACTGGCCGGCACTGGACGATATAACTTTTTGTACGTTATGAATTTGTGAATGACTCCTTCACGAAAATTGTATATAATGAAGTCTTCTATCCATCAAAACTTTAATAACGTGTTTTCAATCATCCAATTGAAAGATATAGATAAAACACTAAGATGTATGCATCCTGAAATCCCACCAGCAACATTTTACTTTATTGGTTGATTGAGTCTCGATCCTTTCATATTTTGGCCATGGTGTCTTCACAAAATTTGTATCTTATTGAGTTATCATTCACATGAAACTTTGAATCGAGTCATTGGAATTCTCTACAATAAGTTATACTCGAATTATGGGCAGAACGTCATCCTCTTGGTCCAAAAGCCGTTCATCGCAATGTTTTATGCTCTAGCTCTCATTCTGAAGGTATTTCCCATATTTCTCTTATTTTCTTTAACAAATAGTTATAAATATTTATGTTAAACACAAGTAAATATAACGTCTATCTCTTATCCGGATAGCATTTCTCAGGATTCCCCTTGCCGATTAGGCTAGGTCGTAGAGACGTAGAATGAGTTCTATGTGGTTGAGAGCCTCCATTCACCAGCGAGGATGAAAAGAAGTGTTCTCAGACTATACCAATAGTCATAGTCAAGATACCGGATTCAATCCTTGAAAATAACAAAACAGAAATAAAAGAAATTGAGCACATGATATGTTTGACGCAGTTCGAATTAAACAATCCTAATCGGCGGGGTTTCAACAGGGGAAACCCGGTCCCAAGAATCCTCTAGCTCAGATTAGTTCAGAATACAAAGATGGTTGCAAAGCAAGATAAGAAAGTAAACTGATCAAGCATACAAGAATCAGCCAGAAAAAGACACACAACAGAAATAAGAAAAGGAAGAGAGATAACCGGACGAAATCATCAAAACCCAGAAGTCATCAAATTTTTGGAATCAAATCAACAGCTTTGGGTTTAAGCTTCACCGAACAGACTATCTCCTGCCTTTCTCAACTACTTTAGCACTCAAGTTATCTTAGATCATATCAAAACTAGAGGTTTCTCTCTCATTCAACACACCAAAGCTCTCAGAACTCACATATCTGTATTTAGGTTTTCAGAATGACGTAAAAGTAGTCTCCAGAAGGAAGAAAGAGACCTTAGATAGGCGCAGATGAAAAGAGCTGGATCAAGAAGGGAGAACCGGACCAAAAGGATAAATCTCAGGCCCAGTCTTCAGCGAATAAGGATAAATGGGCTAGACCTAATTAATGGTCTAATTGAATAAATCAATTAGAGTCCAATAATGCAATTACTATCTAATCTTGCTTTGCCTTCTTATCTAGGTATTAAAAACCATCATAGAAAATGCATCTAGAATTAGGATTACAAATATAACAATTTGCCCTGCTAAGAGTAATTCTGGTGCAGCACAGCTCCTAAGAGCAGTTTCATCATCGCCAGTATCAGAATTCTTTGGACCAGATTACACACTTCATCATTAACCTAGACAAGTACCCTTATGATCAAGGTACTTCAAAGACTTTGAAGAACTGTCTCCAAAAAAAGAAACTTAGCAGTAGGAACAATTTTAGTACCAAAATAAGTAGGATTAACATCTCCAGTAATCTTATCAACATTAATATTACCTTTAGAAATCTCATCCCAAATGTAATGAAATCTGACATCTATATGCTTAGTTTTTCATGATACATAGGGTCCTTGCACAAATATATGGCATTTTGACTATCAGAGAAAACAGTAGGGAGAACATCTGTGCTCAACACTTCCCCCAAAATACCTTTGAGCCATTTTGCTTCTTTGATAGCCTCAGTAGCAGCTATATATTCAGCCTCAGTGGTAGACAGAGCTACCACTGATTGCAATTGAGATTTCCAAGAGATACAGTTACCAGCCCATGTAAAGAACCAAGAAGTATTAGACTTTCTTGAATATTTACATCTAGTGATCCATCATAATCAGAATCAACAAAAACCCTTAAGATCACATGATTCAAAATTAGAGTACTTCAGACCTGGGTTCTTAGTACCAGACAAATATCTTAAAGTATATTTCATAGCAGTCCAATGTTTGGTCCTAGGATCAGACATAAATTTGCTAAGTATACTAACAACAAAAGCAAGGTCGGGCTTAGTACAAAGCATGACATACATAAGAGAACCAGAAGCAACACCATAGGGAATCTTAGCCATTTTTTCAGATTATTCTAAAGTCATAGGGTAGGGATCTCCAGAAAGTTCTAAATGCCCTCCTAAGGGTAAGGGGGCGGATTTAGAGTCATTCATATTAAACCTATCCAAGATTTTAGTCAAGTAATCTCCCTGTGGCAAAAACATGCTTCTCTTGGGTCTACTCCTAGTAATGTCAATTCCCAAAATTCTCTTTGCAGAACCTATGTCCTTCATGTCAAAATGCAATTTCAGATAATCTTAACACTAAGAATCGAGATTTTACATGGACCAATAATGAGAATGTCATCAACATATAGCAGGATGTAAACATCATTCAAAGTTCCAACATGTTTATAATACAAACAAGTATCATATTTACTTCTTAAAAAACCAAGTTCACTCATGCAGGAATCAATCTTCAAATTCCATTGTCTAGGAGACTGTTTAAGTCCATAGATTGTTTTTTAAGAAGACAAACATGTTCAGGAAACTCTTTATTAATAAAACCAGGAGGTTGAGACATAAAAATAGTTTCTTTTAAGTCTCCATGTAAAAAAGCAGTCTTAACATCCATTTGCTCCAATTCCCAATCAAAAACAGTGGTTATAGCCAGCATTAATCTCAAGGTTTTGAATTTAATAACAGGTGCAAAGATATCTTGGTAGTCAACTCCTTCCTTTTGTCTAAAACCTTTAGCTACCAGCCTAGATTTAAACTTAGGAGGTTCAGTAGGATCAAGACTAGGGGTGAGCAAATAACCGATATAACCGGTGTAACCGACTACCGATAACCGAACCGAACCGTAAATTTTTTTCCGGTCGGTTATCGGTTATTATTTTTTAAGAATATCGGTTATTCGGTTTTTCGGTTATTATACGGTTTTAATTATCGGTTATCGGTCATTAACCGATAACCGATTACAACCTGATAAATTATAAATTAATAATAATCTATACTCATACTAATTACTAATAATATTAATATAAAATCTCCAAGGCCCTAAAACGTAACCCATACTCCCATAGCCCAGTAACCCAGCCCCATTTGTATGGAGAACTAAAACATCTCCATTACTCCAACTCTCCAAGCACTAAAACACAACGTAACCCTAGTCCCTAAATAACGAATTATGAAATACAAAGTCATGAAGCGGCTTTGAGCATCTGGATAGCGGAGAAAGTGGAGATCGATGGAGGGATTTGAGGCGTGGGACTGTGAGAGGATGAGATACGGAGATACTGAGATCATCTAACTTCATTGCCAGCTTTGTTCTTTACTCTTTAGTCCGTAATTACTTCGTATAGGTGATGCAGAGGTAATCTCATCTAACTTCGTTAATTCGGTACCTGTTTAGTTTTCTTCTCATGTTCTCCATTCCTTAATATGATATATATATATTCTATTTCTCAATCGAAGCCATCTGTAGCAAAGTCAAGAAGCTGAGTCTTAGGTATTTAATTTGTACTGAGTTAGTGGTTGATTGATATTACATGTTATAGTAACTTAAATCAAAAGTAATGTGTTAGTATAATAGTATGTTATATTACTTGTAACTGGTTAGCTTCTTTTATTTGTAGAGTAAGTAGTTATTAGTTATGGTTGCTAAGATATGCTTATTCAATATGTTGGGGGATGAAGATGACATTTGATATTCAAGGATCTTCTGCAAATTTAAGTGCTTGTTAAGATATGGTAGATCAGAATCTTAACAAAGATGATACCTACAATTTTAGTTATTTTACTATATAATAACTAATGCACACTTTCATAAAGTGATATCTTATTATCTTAACTAATATTAATATAGTTTAAGTAAGTAATACCCTTGAGATATTGTCTTAAAACCAGTAGTTTGGCCCCTACTGGTCCAATGTCATCTTCATCCCTGATTTAATTTTACAAGCTTTGGACCTGTTAACAAGTAATACTTTCATTACTTTTTATTGAATGAATAGGGTCAATGGAACCCGAGTCTATATCAATGCTTGAACAGCCTCAACCAAGAGAGGAGATAAATACAGTTGCCCATGGACAAGAGGAGACAAATGTTGCTGCCCGTAAGAGACCAGCAAAGAAACGCAAGGCCACACGAAAAAAGTCTGATGTATGGGACCATTTTGTTCCTTTCAAGACTGCTTTAAGCGAGCAAAAGGCTAGATGTAAGGGCTGCAGCAAGGAACTTTTTGCTGATTCTAAGTCTAATGGAACTAGTTCCCTGAGAGCTCACGTACGAAGCTGCGTAGGACTTAAAGGTAAGAATGATTCTTCTCAAACTGAACTAATCTCATCCATTGATGGTGAAGGGTCATTAAGTTATGGGAAATATGATGAGAGTAAGATTAGAAGGGCTATGTCTGAGATGATTATTATAGATGAGTTGTCTTTTAAGTTTGTTGAAGCAAAGGGGTTTAGAAAATTCATGTTCGCTGCTTGTCCAAGGTTTAAGGTTCCTTCGCGTTGGACCATTGCTAGGGACTGTTACAATATTTATCTAGAAGAGAAGAAAAAGTTGTGCCATTTACTCCAAACCTCTTGCCTTAGAGTTTCCCTTACCACTGACACATGGACTTCTTTGCAAAAAATCAATAATATGTGTCTTACTCTACACTATATAGATAATGACTGGAAGCTTCACAAACGTATAATTAATTTTTGTCTCATATCCAGTCATAAGGGGGAAGATATTGGTAAAGCAGTTGAAAAATGTTTGCGGGATTGGGGAATAGAAAATGTTTTCACCATTACTGTGGACAATGCTAGTTCAAATGATGTCGCAGTAGGGTATTTGCGAAATAAATTCAACAATTCGGGTAGATCTATTTTAGATGGGAAGTTTCTTCACATGAGATGCATTGCTCATATTGTTAATTTTGCTGTCAAGGATGGTTTGAAGCAAATGGATGAATCAGTGAGTCGTGTAAGAGGAGCAGTTAGGCTTGTGAGGCAGTCACCAGCTAGGCTTGAAAGGTTTAGAGAATGTGCTGATATTCATGTAATTTCCGATTGTATGTTTGTATTTTTAACAAGTTTTTATTAGTTCTAGTTGAGGAAATTACACATTTTTGGCGTAATACTTTATTTTCATATTTATTTGTAATTTGTTTAGATTAGGACTTTTCTGAGCTAAACATGTCAAAGATCATCCAAGGGATCAAGATTGGACCTTAAAAGATCAAGGAAAGTGCAAGGAGGCAAGAAAGATTTCGATTTGGAAAAAATACTCATGTACCCGGTCGGGTATTGCCTATACCCGATCGGGTATTTGCTTGATTCGATTGTCCAAATCAAATCCGAGAACAAATGATCGTGGGAGCAAGATTTCGTTAAGATTTGTCACATACCCGATCGGGTATGCCGACATACCCGGTCGGGTATGCCCAGAAAAATGGCTTTCCGGGAAATTTCCTAAGATACCCGATCGGGTATCCTATATACCCGGTCGGGTATCAGACCCTGCAGCTCCCAAAAGCCTATAAATACACCTCTTTCCTTCACAATAAAATAACCAATTCCTATATACTTCTAAGCTCAGTCTAGAATAGTTCTTTCTTTATATTTTCATCATGTTTAGTCTCCAAATGAGGAGCTAAACTCTTCCATCTTGGTTTTGCTACTTTGAAGCTTAATGAATTTGTAAGTTGTGAGTTATTCTCTTTAATTTTCTTCCTTGAATATTAATTCTTCCTTTAAATACTATTTCTATATCAATGTTGGGGAGTGTTACTAAGATGACAATTCGTTAACATCTTGACAATAGTTATAGTAATAGTTATTTCTTCCTCTATGTTAATATTGGGGAGTGTTACTAAGATGACAATTAGTTAACATCTTGATATTAATTATAGTAGGATTCATACTCTTTAATATTCTTCCTTGAGTATTAATTAATTCCTATTCATATTTCATATTAATATTTTGAACATTACTTAAAGGATCAACTAGTTTTGTTTCATATATTAATTATTACTAGAATCAATCGATTAATACGCTTGTTATTAATTCGGTTCCTTCAACGGTAGTAAACTTGGATTGTTAATGCATGCGTCTCATGATTAATAATCTAAGGGGAATTAATTATATTGATTAAACCGATAAACTGCTTGTGTTGAGGTTATCAATCTCAATCATTTTCATCTCAAGTTTATTGCTACTATCGTGTTAATATACGGCGCGTGTTCTATATTGACTCGGTAGTAAGTTTTATTAATGAACGCGTCTCGTTATTAATAACTACCCTCGATGAACTGGATATACTCCTCGATTGAGTATTCGAGAGGAAGATAGTTAAAGATATAACCGGGATCGACGAACATTTCATTAAGTGGATAAAAGCAAAACCAAGTCCTCATCTCTATAAATTAAACTCATATAAGTCGTTTATCTTAGTGTTAATTAAATTCAATCAAATCAAACTTAAAATCCCCCTTGTTACTATTTATATAAGAGAAAAGTATTCATTTCCCTGTAGATACGAACCTTACTTCACTATACTACGTATTAGTGTTGTATTGATTAATTATTTTGAGTGCACCTCACGACAAGTGCACGTCAAATTTGGCGCCGTTGCCGGGGAAAGGCAATTATTTTTCTTTTTATTTTATCTCATAAAAATCAAAAACAAAAAAAATATATTAAAAAAATTACTTTTCTATTTTCTGAGCTTACATGAGTATATGGATACCAACACATCATCCTTAGAGAGTCAAATTTCCGTTTTGGCTTCTCTCATAAAGGAGTTTATCTTAAGCTCAGAAACTCAAAATGCCAAGATCTGCGATATTTGCATGTCTCACAGGCATATTACGGATTTTTGCCCAAAGCTCCAAGAAGAATACCTCGCACAAATTAATTATGTACCTCACATGAGGTATTATCCATTCTCCAACTCTAACATGTCTACGGGGACATGATTCGGGCTCTTACTAACAGCGTGACTAGGGGTGATTCGGTATGGTATACCGAATATTTTCTCTCATACCTTTACCGTACCAAAACTTTCGGTATGCAAAATTTATATACCGTTACCTTACCGAAGTTTCGGTATACCGCATTTCGGTATACCGAAGTTTCGGTTCGGTAATGGTATGATATCGGTAAATTACCATGCATGTCTCCCAATACAACAAATTATCATAGACTAACGAAATATGCTAAATCGGTGTTACTAGTGAGATATTTATTTCATTATTAAAATTTTACAAATATAATTAATAATCTATTGATGCCATACTCAATATTGAACAATAATTATTGTTAGTATATTTAAGCAGTTCAACATGCCACGTATTAAAAAACAACACATTCTCCTAAAATAACTTGAACGATATAGATATAATTAAATCAATAGTGATCTCTAACAATAATAAATAAAATTATTCAAACAACATGGATATAAAATCATTTATTCCTAATACTACCTCTGTCCCAAAATGTTGAGCCAAATCTCAAAATTTGGAGCATGGTTTTGATTAGTACTGGTATAATATTATGAAAGTTATAAATTTTATACTTTTATGAAAGTACTTTTAACAAAGAACATTTTCATATAATTTTTATATTATAAATAATTTCCAATAAATATATATTAATCAATAAAGTTTTGGATTTGAATAATCATTTTGGGATGGAGGTAGTATGATATTGTGCATTTAGTCATTTTTATATTTTTTTTAAAACAATGAATAAGACTTTCGGACAAAGTTGTGTGCCTCAACTCGTGGAATCTCTATGTAGATACACTTGTCACATAAGTGTACCTCTCTCCACTCATCAGCTACTCAGCGACTCAGTCATCGCAACTCGCAAGCTCTTGGAACAAGATGAACTTGTTTTTGGACATTAGTACATTACTAATTAGTCATTGGAGATTTGTAACCAATGTAAGTATTAATTTTTGGTTTCATAATTGTAATGGAGTTTTACAATACTCTAGAATTAAAAGTAATGATTGTTGGGTAGGGAGTCAGTACAGTATTATACCGGTATACCGTGGTATTTGAAAACATTTACCGTTACCGTACCGAAATAAATCGGTACGGTATGATACCGTACCGAAAATGACGGTATACCAATATTCCGGTATTTTTCGGTATTTTTCGGTACGGTAAGTGCGGTATACCGATTTTCCGGTATTTTTGCCCACCCCTAAGCGTGACCATCATGCAACAAAACATGGTGCAATTCCAAAATGAGACCAAGTCTAGCATTTTGAACTTGGAATCTCAAGTGAGTCAAATAGCCGGAGCCGTGAGTAGGCTTGAAGCAAGGGATTCGGGAAAACTTTCCTCTCAAATAGAATGTGATCCTAAACAGCAAACTTTTGCAATCACATTGACAAATGAGAAGGAAATGCAAGAGGAGATCCAAAATCCAGAAGAAGTAGAAGAAGAAAGAGACACAGAGCTCGAGCTGGTCAAAGAAGAGGATGAACCGTGTTTCAAGGTCAAATATCTATCCTTATCATTCTTTGAGGTACCCCCAACAGTTCTAAAAACTTCGAGGGAAACTCGTAAAATTGAAAAGGATAAAGACATTTTTGAAATCTTCACAAAAATTGAGAGATCAAAACATTTTCCATTGATCATGTTAATTGATAATTTCTTTCCCTCACTCTCACCACATGAATCAATGGAAATCTGGATATTTGATTCTGGAAAGATTTCGAAGTGAAGAGTCAAAATAATTATCATGATCCAAGCTTGAACGATTGAACACAATGATGGCGTCGTGCCGAGACGTTAAACGAGGCGCTTCTTGGGAGGCAATCAGAGCCTCCAAGTTATACTCAGGTTATATGGAACATAGTAGCCTCTGCACTTTATTAACTTTTACCAATATAATGGTAGCATCAACTTTGGAGTTCTTGGGTTATCCATACCAAATTTCAGCTCCAAATGCGATAGAGAAGGAAATCAAATAATTCGTTGAAGTTAACTGCGCCAAATTATACATGGTAAAACGCAGTTAAATTCAACGAATTATTTGACTCCCTTCCCGATCGAATTTTGAGCTGAAATTTGGTATAGATAAACTAGATTTGATGAGGAACATGCTCAAAAAATGTAATTAAAAACTATTACCGTGAACCGCCCCAAACGGCGGTGTTCGGACGGCGTTCGGGCAGAAAGCTGCTGGACCTAAAAATTTATATATATATATACACACTTCCTCCATTCTTAAATAAATGCAACGATCAACATTTTACACTTGCCGAGACACAACTTTGATCATTAATATAAATGATTTTGTATTAGTAAAAAAATTAAAAAAAAAATAGATTATGAAAATTTACAATGAGACAAGTTTAACAATACTTTTTTCATAAAATAATATTATTACATTAATAAATAAAACGTAGTCAAAGTAGAACATGTGAATAGTGTAAAAGTCAAAGTGTTGCATTTATTTAAGAACGGAGGTAGTATATGTATATAGGGAGCGGATCAGGTGAGAAGTGCTCTTAGGCTGAGAACTGCGAAGTTTAACTAGTAGACTAAAAACATGAACTTTAAACCAATAAATCATAACTTATAGACCCCGTCGAAAATCATTACGAAAATGCTGCCGCCAAAAAATAAGCCTGGAAACCTTGAAATTTCTTTAGCGCAGTGGCATTTTCGTAATTATGATGGAGAGATTTATAAGTTATGATTTATTGGTTATAAGTTTCTATATTGACTGTGTTGTGAGATTAGATGCAAATCCAAGGGCTGAGATTGCTTCTCACTTCTCATTTTAAGAGGGACTTCTCACCTGATCCTTTCTCCCTCTCTCTCTCTCTCTCTCTCTCTCTCTCTCTATATATATATATATATATATAGAGAGAGAGAGAGAGAAAAATTCTCAGGTCCAGCGGCTTTCTGCCCGAACGCCGTCCGAACATCGCCGTTTGGGGCAGTTCCCGGTTCCAGTGAGAACGATGCTTATATAACGTGAGAACACTCACATTTAAATCAATGTGGTGCACAACAGAGCTATTCTGTTGCACATTTTCAATTTGTTCGATTAAGCCTACATTAAATAAATACGGTGGCATTTTGGTAAATATCGTGAAAACACGAAAAATTGCAATATACAAGCTTCATATACAATTACGTTGGGGTAATTGTGATGTTCTCACGTTAAGCCCTTTTCTCATTTGATCTTTAATATATATATATATATATATATATATATATATATATATATATATATATATATATATATATATATATATAGGGTGCGGTTCCGGTGAGAACACTCCTTAACGTGAGAAATGAGAACACTCCAAAACGATGCACTTTATCTTTCACACAACTGCACATTTATAGTTAAAGTAATGCAAAATTCTAATGTGCACATTTACGTTTAAAATTTTGCACGGATGAAATGCACATTTTCCAATTTTTTATATGCACGTTTCTGTTTTACATGATGCACAATGCTCAAATCCAACGCTCCAGAATCATTCTCATTTCTCTCCTAAGATGGTATTCTCATTTGATCCTTACCCTATATATATATATATATATATATATATATATATATATATATATATATATATATATATATATATATATATATATATATATATATATATATATATACTTCCTCTGTCTCTTTTTAGTTGCAATAGTCAACATTTCACGTTTGCCAACGCACAAATTTGACCGTCGTTATATTTAATTTGGTATTAGTAAATATAAAATAAAAA